ACGGATCCTTGTACCTACCCTAAACCCCAAACCCTAAACCTTAAACCATTAAACATAAACCCTAAACCCTACACCCTACACCCTACACCCTAAACCCTAAACCCTGAACCCTAAACCCTAAACCCTAAACCCTAAACCCGGGCCTCCGGCGGCCAGTGCCATCTCATGCTTCTTCTGGCATCACGAGGGCGGCTCCGGGGAGTCGAGGGTGTAAGGGTTGAGGGCTTGAGGCAATTGAGCATGAAGGGGGGTGTTGGGTTTAGGGTTTAGGGTTAAGGGTTTAGGGTTAAGGGTTAAGGGTTTAGGGTTTAGGGTTTAGGGTTTAGGGTTTAGGGTTTAGGGTTTAGGGTTTAGGGTTTAGGGTTTAGGGTTTAGGGTTTAGGGTTTAGGGTTTAGGGTTTAGGGTTTAGGGTTTAGGGTTTAGGGAAACCCTACCCAATATAGACCCCCAAACAGTAGGATACCCTTTTAATAAGGACCTGAGTAGGGAAACCCTCAGAGCGCAAACCCCCACATTCCGAACTCCACCGGCGTGGTTCTTTTGCTAGAGCTGTTCGTGGTTGCGGAGTTTCGGGCTTTCAGGGTTAGTTTTTGGTTCCGGTAACCCTGAACATCAAAAAACAACTAGGAGCCAGGGTATGCAAGGTCCGAATGTTTCCTACACCCGCATGAACGGCATAAACCGGAACTAACCTACATCCAGCCGGTGCCGCTTCACGCCTTCAAGCCCTACACCACCCCTAGAACCCTAAACCCTAAACCCTAAACCCTAAACCCTAAACCCTCAAGATGCACTATGGAACCCCAAGAGCAACATGCCTCAGGCCTTAAGCCAGCCCTGAATCCTTAACGCAAGCTCCCAGCAATGAACCCCAAACCCATCCCAACCCAAAACCCTGAAACCCACCGACACCCCCTCCTTGGCTGCACTTAGGAGGGTAGGAAAAAACTTTTAGCTGCCCTAATAAGAAACCCAATAAAACCCAAAAAGGCTGAGGATGTAATAAAACCCAAAAAGGCTGAGGATGTAAAGTTACAGTGAAGCACCACAAAGCCTCCTGAACCCTCCTTACGAAGTCACCAAAACCCTAACCCCTAAGCCCTCCACCCGCCACCCTCAGACGCAAGACCGATCCAGCACCCCCCCCCAAACCCTCCCAACACCAAAACCCCTAACCCCTAACCCCTAAACCCTAAACCCTAAACCCTAAACCCTAAGCCCTAAACCCTAAACCCTAAACCCCAAACAGAACGGAGTCGCCAGCCGACTTGCAACAAACATATCAAGACAGGATCTTGGAACCCTGGTTACACCCTTCTGCCCTGGCACCCTAAACCCTAAACCCTATAAACCCTAAACCCTATAAACCCTAAACCCTATAAACCCTAAACCCTATAAACCCTAAACCCTCTAAACCCTAAACCCTATAAACCCTAAACCCTAAACCCTAAGCCCCTCTCAACAATTGCTTCTGAAGTACTTTCAACCTATTGTGTGCCGAGATAGGCCTGGGCTTGCTCCAAAGCTTGACTGGAGAGGTGGTCGTCGATGAAGGACCTCGGGTTTAGGGTTTAGGGTTTAGGGTTTAGGGTTTAGGGCTTAGGGTTTAGGGCTGAGGGTGTATTAGGACAGATTGGCGCTCTTGTGCCGTTTTGGGCCCTTGTTTCGTGCCCGCAGCCTCGGAGGTCAAAACCTCCCCCAATCTTCTGGGGGGGTGAAGCGGGAACAAACACGGGTGGAAAGTCGCACCCGATCTCTGCTCCACACTCCTAACCCCCCATCATGAGCCCGCCGTGCGCCTGACCCCTGCACACGTAGTAACCCATTGTAAGTGTAGCTCTCACCCACGTTTTAGCCGTAATAGGGTGATAATTGGGTTATAAGTACAGCCCTAAACCCTAAACCCTAAACCCTAATACAGGTATAGCTGGGTTGCTAAGGCCCCCTGTAACCTTCTGGCAAGGTCTGCGTGGTCTAAGCCCCCTTAGAGACCCAAGCGCCGGGTTGCTTCTTGCTGCACGGCCCGAAACCGTAAATTCCCCAGGCCACCTAAACCCTAAACCCTAAATCCGATAACCCTAGCAACCCTAGCAACCCGAGAGCTATAAACCCTAAACTCATCGCAGCTCTCTGAGAGATCCAAGATACCCTAAACATACCCTCAGGATTCTGCCAGGAGCGGTCCCCTTAAACAAGGGCCACCTAGGAAAAAAGGGTACCCTTTTATTTGGTTTAAAGGAGTTTGTACAGGGAACCTAGACCTCAAAAAAAAAAGGAATGTGGGCCTCCTCTGGGTCCTAGCTTTGAAGTGCGAGCAGGGCGGCCATTCGAAACTCCTGCCGCGATCCTCTTGACCTGTCTGGTCAAAAATAGGGGGGGGGGACCCTAAACCCTAAACCCTAAACCCGGTTTAGGGTTTAGGGTTTAGGGTTTAGGGTTTAGGCATTAGGGTTTAGGGTTTAGGGTTTAGGGCTTAGGGCCACTGACATGTTGATCCTCAACCCTGAGCTCCATGACTCCAACACCCTCCCGCGTCATTCTACGGGCAGCTCCATGGTCCCCTAGTATGGGTCCTCAAAAGGGGGGGTTTAGGGTTTAGGGTTTAGGGTTTAGGGTTTAGGGTTTAGGGTTTAGGGTTTAGGGTTTGCCCCTCAGAATAAACCTCAAAGCTCATACTTCAGAACCCTTTCGAGGAGGTAAGGGACCGTATTCAGGGACCCTAGAACTGCCCTTATGAGTGACATGGGCCCAAGAATCGGAGCAAAGCAAAGGCGCGCTCTGAAGTCCAAACCCACTGCAAACATCAGGAAGCTGCTGGAATAAGAGGCCCGAAGACAAACAAAAGTCGAGCGTAAGACCCTGCACCGTACAGTTACCACTGCTTCGGACACCTCTCTCCTCTCCCCTGAGCCCCGAAGGGTTTAGGGTTTAGGGCTTCTAACCTAAACCCTAAACCCTAAACCCCAAACCCTAAACCCTAAACCCGGAGTCTTAAACCCTCTTGCCTCCCGGCACATGGCCGGTCGATCCGAAGACCTGGTACCTGAGGGTCGAGCAGGGCTTGAGGGGTTTAGGGTTTAGGGTTTAGGGTTTAGGGTTTAGGGTTTAGGGTTTAGGGTTTAGGGTTTGGGGTTTAGGGTTTAGGGTTTGGGGTTTAGGAAGGTATCTCAGGGGTTATGAATTTTTTTTAGAGGGTTCTTGGGGTTAGTGGTTCTGGGGCTTGGCTCGGAAGGGGTTGAAAAGTTATTTTTTTGTCGTTTTTTGAGGGTTTTTAGCATCCTTGACCTTGGCTTAAAAGGGTTGATGGAGGGGTTTGAAAGGGCTTAGGTTTGTAGAGGTTGTAAAAGGTTCGATGGGTCAAAATTAAGGGCTTTGAGGGTCACGGGCTGAGGGTTTCATGATTTAGTGGGTTCCGGGAAGGGTTCAGGGTTCAGGGTTCAGGGTCCAGGGTTCAGGGTTCAGGGTTCAGGGTTCAGGTTTCAGGGTTCAGGGTTCAGGGTTCAGGGTTCAGGGTTAGGGCTTAGGGCTTAGGGCTTAGGGCTTAGGGCTTAGGGCTTAGGGCTTAGGGTTTAGGGCTTAGGGTCAGGGGGTCTGGCCACGGGGTGTCCCAGTGCTGGCACGGACAGCCCCGGCATGTTCGGCGTTTGTCATGGCTTGTCTCAACGAACGAGATGTGATGCGTGTCAACTACTAGGGGTCGTAGATTGGTGTATGAAATAGAAGTTTACGCAAAGAGGGGAACCCTCAAATAGACCCCAAACTATAGCAAGATTCCCTTATCATAAGGACACCCATAAGGTACCCCCTAAGATCGTAAACCCCCATGTCCCAAAATTGCAGCCGCCCTAAACCCTAAACCCTAAACCCTAAAGCCCCATGTCCCAAAATTGCAGCCGCTGCACTCGTTGCCGTAGCAGGTCATGATGACTTTGCTGTTCGACCTGCAGGACGTGACAAAACTTTAGTTAATTCTCGGGATTTTCCCCTCTTAGAGTTTAGGGTTCAGGGGTTAGGGTTTAGGGTTTAGGGTTGAGGGGCTACTATACTGAGGACTGTCAAGATAAGAGGACAAAAGCGTAATCAAAACTGCCAGCGTGATGGATGCAGCAATTGTGCCCGAAAATGAAGGGGGGGGGGCCCTAAACCCTGAACCCTAAACCCTAACCCCTAAACCTTTTTGGGTATCAGCGTTACTGCACGTGGGGGGTACGAAAGGGCCGAAAGGGGGGACCAGAACTTTGGGAGTGTCCCAGATGTGCCAGAAAGCAAAGGCCTTGTCACCTCTGCTGTCATGCGGAGGCCTTGTTCAGGGTTTAGGGTGATTTAGAGTTTGGGGTCTTCAAAGTTCAAAGTCCTGAAGCACCATGAACCCTCAACCTAGCCCTACACCCAAAACCCGACAACCTGCACACCAAAGACCGACATCCCTTCACAGAAGCTCGGGCGTGTGCTGCAGCTCGCAGCCAGTTGCTACACTTTCCTGGCGCGCTGCCAGCTCAGGGATTTAACGGTACCTTCTTGGGACGTTTAGGGTCTAGCAATCTGAACCCTGACTCGCGAACTCCACTACCCAGAACATAACCTCCAAAAAGCCGGAAGACCCGGTACCTAGGGCACAAGATACCTGCGCATCTCTGGTCGAGTCTTTGGCTCTTTCGGCTGGAATGGCTCCAAGGCGGTGCAAGCGACACGTCGACACGCTGGCGTGTCCAGGTGTCGCAGAGGTTCCTCGGCCCCTAAAGGGCCGAGGATCCTAAGATCCGGGACCCAAACCCTATTGACCAGAAGTCTCGACACCCTGTGTGAAGCCCAAGGGCCGAAGGAGCAGCTGGCGATGTCGTGTTTTCGTCATACTAGAGGGTTGGGGGTTTAGGATAGTCAGATGCCTTTGACCAAAAAACGCCTTAAATCCAAGGTCACTGTGCCGGAACGTACATCTGCTTGTGATCTACATGTCTGCACAAACCATTCATATTACTCCTAGTCTGCCCCTCAACTATCAAGGCGTCTTCGCCACACAGGTGCTGTTGACCCAGTGGCACTCACCGTTGCACCAGGACGGACCTCAGCAACGTTGCTGGCTTGCGGCAGAAGTTCGATTCAACTGCACTTAGCACCAGTCTTGATATGTACTTGCGTACTTGTCTGCATAGATTGTGTATATATATATGTATATACACAATTGAAATAGTGGTGAAAACTACGAATACTAGTAACAATGCAACGGCATCGAAAGGCTACATAGTCTAACGGTCCCATGTAAGTATAGCCAACAAAAAGGCTTCCCAAAAAGCGGTCTAACTTTCTGGCTTCCGGGTCGTAGGATTTAGGGAAAGGCATGAATTAGTAAGGCCATCTCATGATACCACCTATGCATGGTTACATTTATGAGCTCTGCCCCCACACCCTCAACCCTCAGCTCGAGCAAGTACAACTCAAGGAGTTGTTGAAGGTAGGGTGCTGAGGGCACCCTTGCTGTCCCCAAGGCATGGGGCTTGATTGAAAAGGGTTTAGGGTTTAGGGTTTAGGGTTTAGGGTTTAGGGTTCAGGGTTTAGGGTTTGGGGTTTAGGGTTTAGGGTTTAGGCCATCACGGTCCTTCTGGTTTCGGACCTCGGGGCTTCGAGATGATGCCTTGCAGCCTGACCCGTGCCCCCAAGTACTAACCCTTGCCCTTATTGCAAGCTGGGAGGTTCATGTTACTTACCTTGGCTGCACTTAGGAGGGTAGTACAAAATCAAACTTTTAGCTGCCCTATTAAGAAACCCAACAAACCCAAAAAGGCTAAGGATGTAAAGTTACAGTAAAGCACCACAAAGTTACTAGCCCAATTATAACTGTACTTATAAGGGTACCTGCAGGGCTAAGCCCTGAAACCCTAAACCGTCAGCCGTAGGCCCGAAAACCCAAACCCTGACACTTCAAAGCCCTCACTGGGTCCTTATTGGGGACATATTAAAAAATTATCATGTTTAATCCTTATTGGGTTTTGATTATAACAAACATGTAAGATTGAAGCCAACAAGGACCCAGCTAAGTCCACAACTGCATGCCCTAGACCCGAAACCCCAAACCCATAAGCCCTAAACCCTCAATCCTCAACCCAAAAACTTCAACCCTCAACCCTAAACCCTGAACCCTAAACCTTAAATCCTAAACCCTAAACCCCTAAACCCCTAAGCCAAACCCAACGCCCCTGGCTCTGGGAATCCAGGCCCCGCCCGCGTGGGCACTGCGAGCAGTGCGGGGCCCTGTGCGCGCCGCAGTCCACCTCTGCAGGCCAAGGGTTTAGGGTTTAGGGTTTCGGGGTTTAGGTAGATGCTTTTGGTAACCAAAGTTGTATAGCTGCTAGTAGAGAGTCTGTTACCATGAGATTTTAGCAGTGTGTTTGAGATTAGCGGAGCATGTTCCCAAACTTGATCTTCAAAGAAGAGGCAAACCTTTTGCCAAACTCTCTTTTTTACTCACGGACGACACGGATCCCTGTGCATGACGTCGTTAATATGTTGCTCTCTCTCTCTCTCTCTCACCGAGATCAGTGATATCGTTCGGAGGCTCGCGAGGCTTACAACGAAGGTGGGTAAGAAAAGGGAGGTGCTTATAAGTTTCGCGGCGAGGTTTTAGGGTTTAAATTTAAGGGTTTTAGGGGTTTAGGGCTGCATCGAACCACTGCATGCCTAAACCCCAAACTCCACAGCTCAACCCGGAACCCTAAACCCTAAACCCTGAACCCTAAACCCTAAACCCTAAACCCTAAACCCTAAACTGTCCCAACCCCCCCACCATCCAGCCTGAACATCCTCCAGCTGGACGCACTCCTCGTCGTGCCTGCAATGGGCTTCTCGGCTCCAAACGCGGCATCGACGCCCGAAACCCCTATGCTCCCCAACCCTAGGGACGAAATGAACCCTAAAAGGGTTTGAGGTCCAAATACCTGAACAGGGGTTGTAGAAGTCGAAGGTATATGATGCCAATTCTTGGGGTCTAATTTCGTCCTCAAGGCAAGTGCGGATGGCCCTGCTGGCCCGCATAAATAAACGTGAGGGTTTAAGCATTGGGGGTCCTGCCTCAAGCAGATAATGGTTTGCTTGCTCAGGGTGTCATGGGTTCAGGAGGCGTGGGTGGCCAGTTCAGAGGGTTTAGGGTTTAGGGTTTAGGGTTTAGGGTTTAGGGTTTAGGGTTTAGGCTGCCTTTGCACCTTGCGCCAGGTGACTGTCAGAGCCATCCAGGGTGTGTACAGATGAACCAGGATTCCGGCCAGGCGCGGCTAGACGGTCTTCGGGTAGTGGCATGGTCCCCTACTTTGGGCCCTTTAAAGGGGACCCCTTATATAACTTATATACTCCTCTTATACCCTATGCAACCCAAGGGCCTACACATCAGAACCATAAAGAGGCAAGGAACCATACTAAGGGCCCCAAGAGTCTGTTTTCTAGGTGGAGATGCGTGCTGGAACTACTTCCTGGGACCCGCTTGTCGCGAAATGAACCGAGGCTCCACATGCAGTCTCCGTTGCACCAGAAGCCTGGGACTGTTGGATTGAAGCAGGATGTATATGTCTGTCATTGTTGAGTGTATATAATTATAATGTTCCTTCTTAATATTGGTGAGTGTATATAATTCGTGTCCTTTTGGGGTCACAAGACATTTAAAACCCTCCGTCAGGGAGGGGAGGCGAGCATCACGTTTGGGAGGGTTTTGGGTTGGGAGTAGGGAGATCAGAAAGGACATGGGGTTTTACGATATTAGGGGTGCCTTATTGGGGTCCTTATTCGAAGGGGATCCTACTATTTGGGGGTCTATATTGGGGGTCCCCTATTTTCGTAAACCCCCAAGTGGTTTCTAGTCCCACGAAGGCTTCTGGGGTTGAGGGCTTACGGGGCTTCGGGGGCTTGGGATTTAGGGTTTAGGGTTGGACTGTTCCTCCTGATACTAACGGTCCCTAGTGGGGATTATAGCAACCCCCCATGATAATGCACATTAAGGACTGCTAGTATAAGGGGGCACATCCAAAGGCTAGGGTTTCGAAGCGCTTGCTTGAATCCCTGGAGGTAGGGCTCTTCGCTTAGGCTTCGGTTTGCGCCTTGCTGTCCTTAAGGCCATACTTGGCTGCCCTTAGGAAGGTAGTAAAAAACTAAACTTTTAGCTGCCCTAATAAGAAACCCAATAAGCCCAAAAAGGCTAAGGATGTAAAGCTACAGTAAAGCACCACAAAGCCATAGAGCCGAAAGATTGCAATGTCTCCCCCGAACGCCTGCAGGGGAGGCCCGGCGAAGCCATCTCTTTAGGATTTCTACACCCTACAAACCCCACAAACCCTACAAAACCGACAAACCCTAAACCCTAAACCAAACCCTAAACCCTAAACCCTAAACCCTAAACCCGAAACCCGAAACCCTAAACCCGAAACCCTAAACCCTAAACCCCTGTAACGCCGTCGGGTGGCTGCCCTGGCCCTGGGGGCACTCCGCGCAGCTCCGGGCCCGGTGCTGCCCGCAGTTGATCCCCGGCACCTCCTTAGCTCTGCTGTTTCTTAAACTGACCTTGGGGCGGGGGGGGGGTGGGGGTTGAGGGGTTTAGGGTTTAGGGTTTAGGGTTTAGGGTTTAGGGTTTAGGGTTTAGGGTTTACGGTTTAGGGTTTAGGGTTTAGGGTTGAGGGTTTAGGGTTTAGGGTTTAGGGTTTAGTGTTGAGGGTTTAGGGTTTAGGGTTTAGGGTTGCCTGGTGCAGGGCTTAAGTTGGTGTCAGTCGTGTTGGTTACTTTTGTTGGGGGGGAGGCCCGGGATAGGGGTGTCTTGGATGGCCCTGGAAGCCTCTGAAAAAAAGTTCCTCGATATAGCGCCGCGACTCGGGCGAACCGCTATTGCCTGTCCCTCATGAGGCGCAACACCCTGAACCTTCAACCCTAAACCTAAACCCTAAACCCTAAACCCTAAACCCTGAAGCCAAAACCGTATCACCCGACTCCATTGCATCGTCAACCAGGAAGAGGATGTAGGCCAGGCATGGGAAGCATCGTGGTCTAGGATTCATTCTCGGTTGTGACGGTTTTTGAGGTTGGACCCCTAAACCCTAAACCCTAAACCCTAAACCCTAAACCCTAAACCCTAAACCCTAAACCCTAAAGACAGAAAAGCGTCCTCCCGTCGGCGGCACTTGCCCTCGTACAGCGTACAATCACCATGGCAGGAATCTTCGTCACGACCTTGCAGGGCGTTGTTTGCTTTGGTGTTTTCTGGATGTTAGGGCCGGGTGAAGGGTTTATAGGGTTTAGAGCTTAGGGTTTAGGGTGTAGGGTTCAGGGTTCTCTGGCCAATGTTGTGGGATTCGTGTGGTTGTCCGGCTTCCAGCTCGACGTCGAAACAGTCTTGCTCTACCCTGGGTGCACAGCCCCTCCGCCCCTAAGCCCTAAACCCCAGACCCTAAACCCTCAACCCTAAACCCATCTTGAGCCATTCATGTTGGCCCACGCGTGTCTTGCTACCTTTCTGCTTTCCGCAATGCACTTCATAGTCATAGCTGAGACCTATGACCCAGTAACCTAGGAACACAAAGGCTCCCCCTGTAGTATGGGCGGTAGGTTTCAAAATTTGGGGAAAAGGCCAGGAAAAAATGGAGATTCAGTATGGTTTTGCGGTTTTAGGATTTAGGATTTGGGGTTAGGGTTTAGGAAGTAGCTCTATAGATTACGTTCAGCATGAACCATGCATGCGGAGCCTTGAACGCAAGCGTCGCAAGATTGCGCCCGATGCTTGCCGCATCTGACAAGCCTCTTTGATCAGGGCAACGATTCAACAGGCTTCTGAGCTTCTGAGCTTCGGAACTTGATCTAAGGTCTGTAGAAGCAAAGACCTTGTGTGGCAAAAAAAGACCTTGTTTATGAATATGTGGGTACGGGTCTTTACGTCCGAAGGTCTTGAACCCTGGCCAGATCATGGGATCCGGGGCCGGGTCTGTTTCTTGGGAGCCCCAAATCCTACATCCCCTTCACGCCCGTCCAGAAGTGACCTTGCAATGTCTGGAGCCGGTCCAAATCAGAGTTTCCCTCTCAACCCAAACCCCGTGAGGTTGAGAGTCTGGCTGGGGGGGGGGTGGGGTGGGGGAATGGCCAAAGGCCATCGCCCAGGAGTTCGGGGAAACCCAGGAATAAGGGGTTTAGGGTTCAGGGTTTAGGGTTTGGAGCTTAGTTAGGGTTCAGGGCTTCAACCAGCCACATGGCTTTGTTGGGTGGGATTCTAAGGAAGGTTTAGGGGTTGAGGGTCTGGGGTTTAGGGTTTAGGGTTTAGTGAGGGCATGGGGTTTTAAGACCTTCCCTCCCCCAAAATCTCCCGAAGAACTCCCTAACCTCATCTAATGAGTAGCACCACCCTTTAACAACTGTACTGTAGCCAAAAGCGACGCAAACCCTGTCCCCAGAAGCCCTCTATGCACTCTACGCCTGTCAGATAAACCCTATAAACCCTCAAGCTCCAGACAAAAAACAAAACCCTAAGACCCATGAAGCCCCCCCCATGACACCCTAAACGCTAAATTCTAAAACTGAAGCCCTAAACCCTAAACCCTAATTAAACCCTAAACCCCCCCATTAAGCCCTAAACGCCACTAGACTCTGTACCCTGAAATCTCAGCCTTGAACCAGAAACCCCCCCCCCCCCCCCCCGGAACCCCAAAACCCTGCAGCCCGAGGTTCATCTGCGGTACGGGCCCCGTATTCAGCAGCGTTATCTTCACATCCTCGAGCAGCGCCTGGGCTTCTGAGGGTTCTGCTTGGGCAGGGGTTGTAGGGTTTAGGGTTTTGGGGTATAGGGTTTAGGGTCGGGGGCTTAAGGTTTAGGACTTGGGGTTTAGGGCTTGGGAGTGTGGAGGGATTGGAGAGCTTGGGGTTTAGGATTTGGGATTGAGGGTTTGGAGTTGAGGGTTTTTGGTTAGGGGTTTGGCATTGAGGGTTTGGGGTTTAGGGTTGAGGGTTGAGGCTTTGGGTTTGGGGATGGGGGTTGAGAGTTGAGGGCTCTATGCTGAGTTTTGGAAGGGGTTCCGGGTAACCCCCCTAAACCCCAAAATCCAAACGCCCGAAAACCCAAAAGCCTCCAACGTATACAACCCTAAACCCTAATCCCTAAACCCTGAGCCCACTAAACCCTAAACCCTAAGCCCCAAAACCTATAATATAACCCAAAACCCTAAGCCCTAGACCTCAAACCCTGAACTCCCTAAACCTTAAACCCCTAAACCCCAGCTCCAAGGTTAGCCACGCCGTCGGCAACCACTGGGGCACGCGGACGCCCAACGAGGTGACAGTGAGGGCCTGCTGTGGTTGGCTGTCTCATTTCGATGGTCCCTTAGCATGGGCCCTTACTTACCTTCCTTAAAAGGGGATGTTGATAGGGTTTAGGGTTTAGGGTTTAGGGTTTAGGGTTTAGGGTTTAGGGTTTAGGGTACAATTAGGGCTTAGGCAGTTACATGGTCCCTTCATACTGGGCCCTTAATGAATTGGGGGGGAACCCTTCTTTATACCCCTTACATGCCCCAGAAAACCCGAGGGGGCCCATACTCCAGAATCCTGCAAGGAAAGCAAGGGACCATCGTCAGGGGCCATGTCGTAGTAGCCCAGTAACATATTATGACAAGGGCACCCTTTTTTGGGTTGGGTACTTGATAAGGGAACCTTGAACCCAAAAAGGGAAAAGGGTACCACTGGGCTGCCAAGATGTAACTTCCCCTAGAGTGTCTTAAGGGTTTTCAGGGTGTAGGGTTTTCAGAGTTTAGGGTCCACAGGGCTGATAGGGCTTAGAGGTTAGGATTTAGGGGTCTGCGGGCTACAGGTCGAGGGTTTTGAGGTCCGGGTTTAGGGGTTTAGTGGCTTCGGGATTAGGGTTTTGAGGTCTGAGGTTAGGGTCGAAGGCTTGGGGCTTTAGGTCGAGGGTAGGCGAAGGATTTAGAATCGGGGGTTTGGGTTTAAGGCTCATGGTTTAGGTTTTAAGCTAGGGCTTGGGTAGCCATAGGGGCGGGGGTGCACCCGGGGGGGGGGGGGGGGGGGGCTTGTGGTTGGTACCGGGAGATGGTGCGTAGTGGAGTGGGGGGCATGGCGGTGGGGCACCACCTTTCCCACCCCCGAGAGAGGGGGGACAATAAAGAAGAAAACAGTAAAAGCCCTCAAGCCCTAAAACCCTAAACCCCTGAACTCGAAACCCTAAAACCCTAAACCTCAAGGACTAGGGGCGGATCTCCGCCTCGTGTGCAGTGTTTGCGTAGCTATCAGTAACAGCCCATCTTATGACCTCAACACAGGACATATCTAGGGTTTTAGGCCTTGATTTGGGGTTGCAAGACTCAAAAAATCGTAACCTTCGCTGCCTTTCCGGGCCATCATTTTGGGGCAACTCGCTACTTTGGCTCACTGCAGGCTCCAGACCGTGTGGGAGCGGCCTAGGACTTCGGGCTTCCCCGCCTTCTGTCGAGGAGCAGAAGGAATGATCCTCCACTCTTGGCGCGTACTGCCTCAGTGAGTTTACGTGGAAGGGACCCTAAACCCTAGACCCTGAACCCTGAACCCCAAACCCTAAAACCTAAACCCCAAACCCTAAACCCTAACCCCAAGCCCCAAACCCCTGTATGATATGGCTGCCGGAGGAAGGCCACCTGCCCATAATTAAGGCTATTTAGGGAAAATTAAGCTTAAATAAGGTTACTTAAGGGGGGAACCTAGGGCGGTAGTATAGACCCTGATGAGACAGATTCATGGCTCGGAGCTTTAATCTGTCGGCGTCGATGGCGTTCAGTGAGGGCTGCTCACCCTGGCATGCAGCAGTGCTCTGGTCTGGGGTTTAGGGTTTAGGGTTTAGGGTTTAGGGTTTAAGGGTTAAGGGTTAAGGGTTAAGGGTTTAGGGTTTAGGGTTTAGGGTTTAGGGTTTAGGGTTTAGGGTTTAGGGTTTAGGGTTTAGGGTTTAGGGTTTAGGGTTTAGGGTTTAGGGTTTAGGGTTGAGGGTTGAGGGTTTAGGGTAACACTAACAGCAAGCCCCAAGCACTTCCTGCTTTAAAGTGCCTGGGCCATTCGGCCCTTTAGGCTGGGATGAATACATGTCACTTGGGATGTTCCCCCTTTAGACTAACAGTCACCCTAAACCCTAAACCCTAAACCCTAAACCCTAAACCCTAAACCCTAAACCCTAAACCCTAAACCCTAAACCCTAAACCCTAAACCCGATTCTAGTATCCCCCCCCTATTATAATCCCTATTATGTTCGTACAAAGGGGAAACATCCCAACATGTCATGGGTTGCAGTCGGAAATCTCAAGGCACCACCGCTCCCTAAACTCTCAGCGGAGGCCTCAAGCGCAGACCTCATGATGTGATGCCTTGGCGAGGGGGGTTCGAGGAGGTTTCGGGTTTAGACAAAAAGCACCAGAGGCGCGAACTTACACTCTCGTCTGGCTTTCTGGGGGGATTCGAGGAGGTTTCGGGTTCAGACAAAAAGCGGCCAGATGCAAAAAGCAGATGCTCCCCCCCATTGAGGTCCAGGGTGGGCCCCTGTTTGGGGAATCTGATCCCTAAACCCTAAACCCCTAACCCCTAAACCCTAAACCCTAAACCCTAAACCCCTAAAAACCTAGTAGCCCTAAACCCTAAACCCCTAACAGCCAGGAGACCGGATCGCCAGGCCCAGCCACTCCAGGGAGTCGCTCATCTCGAGGCTCAGGGCGCCAGACGCGCCTTTCGTTTAGGGTTTAAGGTTTAGGGTTTAGGGGTTTAGGGGTTTAGGGGTTTAGGGGTTTAGGGGTTTAGGGGTTTAGGGGTTTAGGGGTTTAGGGGTTTAGGGGTTTCGGGTTTCGGGGTTTCGGGGTTTCGGGTTTGGGGCTTAGGGTCTAGGACTTTAGGGCTTGGGGGGGGGGGGGGGGTCTGAGGTGGTCTGAGGGTTTGAGAGTTTCTCTCCAAGACCTAAACCTTTATGACTTTTCTATTTGGGGCTTGGGGGGTTCGGGTTCAGGGGCTCAAAAGCGCTCAAGAGCCCCTTCAAAAGCCTTGGCTGCACTTAGGAGGGTAGCTATAAATTAAGTTGTTAATTTAGCTGCCTCATTAAGAAACCCAATAAGCCCAAAAAGGGCTAAAGATCTAAAGTTACAGTAAAGCACCACCAGAAAGCCCTAAACAAGTTTTCCAGGTTGTGTTGAGGGTTTTCAGGGCGGAGGGCTTCAAAGAGCTCTTCGGGGAACACTCTTTCTGGACCCTTCTAGACACCCGTCAGCCCTAATCACCGTCAACCCAGAACCCTAAACCCTAAACCCAGGAACCTCAAACAGCAAGAACCCCAAACCCTCAACCCTAAACCCCTAAACCCTGAACTCAACACCACTAAACCCTAAACCCAAAGCCCCAAAACCCCAAACCCCAAAAACAACCCGAAGCCCTAAACAACGAAACCGAGGGCAGAGACTGGCGGGTCTTAGTAGGGAATGGGGGAACTATATAATCCCTCAAAGGGTATTTGTAAAACCCTAAACCCGAACCCTGAACCCTGAACCCTGAACCCTAAACCCTAAACCCTAAACCCTAAACCCTAAACCCTCCCTAAACCCTCATTCCCTGTTTCCCTGCTACGAGCCCGGGGGTAGAGGCCTCGCGCGCCCAAGAATGCCCACCTCTGTTGGAATAGGGTTTAGGGTTTAGGGGTTAGGGTTTAGGGTTTAGGGTTTAGGGCTTAGGCATTGAGCGCTTACGGGGTTGGAAGGGTTTGGGGTTTGGGGTTTGGGGTTTGTGGTTTGGGGTTTGTGGCTTGGGGTTTGGGGTTTGGGGTTTAAGGTTTAGGTTCCTTCATTAACCTGAGTTTTGCTTTTAGAGGAGCTGTAGAGGTGCTAAGTTTCTTGCGGTGAGGCTTTTTTCGCTTTCTTTTTGTTTTTTAAAGGGCTTTTGCGAAGGGCCTTTGCAAAGGGCGTTAAGGGTTCAAAGGGTTTAGGGTTTAGGGTTCAGGGTTCTAAGGGGTTAAGGAAGGCTTTGACGGCTTTAAGGGTTTAAGACTTCTAGGCAGGGTCAAGGGGCTTGCGGGTTTGTCAGGGCTTCGGGCCTAGGGGTTTTGGGGGGGTTTAAGATTTTTAGAGTTTAAGGCTTACGGTTCTGAGGGTCTTATATTCGGTGCTAAAACATAAACCCTAAACCCTAAACCCTAAACCCTAAACCCAAGATGTACACCCTCCCTTCTAGTTAGCATGGTCATGGCTGTGATGCGTTCGGTTGAGTTAGTGAGAGCGCAGGTGAGTCTGTCAGAGATGGTGGTTTAGGAATATCAGGGACCCCTGACCCCAAATAGTCTCCTTTTCGAATCAGAGCCCAAATAAGGTACCCCTAATTTCGAAAACCCCCCAAATAGGTTTTCTGCAAACCTGAAACCCTAAACCCTAAACCCTAAAGCCCCCCAAAAGCGAGGGGCAGCGCCATCGACGCGGCCATTGGCCAACCCATGGCTCGAGGTGGGGGCTTTCCCTGAACCCCGTCGGTCTCTGGCGTAGGGTTTTGTGGGATTTTTGGTAGGGTTTAGGGTTTAGGGTTTAGGGTTTAGGGTTTAGGGTTTAGGGTTTAGGGTTTAGGGTTTAGGGTTTAGGGTTTAGGGTTTAGGGTTTAGGGTTTAGGGTTTAGGGTTTAGGGTTTAGGGTTTAGGGTTTAGGGTTTTGTGGGTTTAGAAAGGTTTAGAAAGGTTTAGAAAGGTTTAGAAGGGTTCAGGGTTTAGGGGTGTGTGATGTTTTTGTGGGGCTTGTGAGGCTTCTGTGGGGTTTGTGGGGGGGGGGGGGGGGGGGGGTTGCGGGGTTTCTGTGGGTTTTTTGTGGGAGGTGTCGTGTGTGTGTGGGGTTTCGGGGCTTGGGGCCCAGGGAAATACCATGCCGGGTCCCTCACTGTACGGTCATGCAAAGCCACCTTGGGGCGCTTTCTTGTGACTAGGGGTCCTCCCCGTAGGTGTCTCGGAAAAAAACGAACTACTCCCACTAAATGAGGAGACCCCAAGAGTTTTTAAAGTTCAACTATCGGGTTCATTTCTCCAGGACGTCTGGTCCAAAGCTTGAGAGATATCACAGAGACACGAATCAGCTGGGTGCGGTTTAGGGTTTAGGGTTTGGGGTCTAGGGCTTAGGGGCTGATTGGCATCGAGATCGGGGAGGCTTTTCTCGGGGCAGCCACAGCATGCGAAGGTTATACTTTCCTACCTTCAGCACAGCAGCAACATCTCGATCAACGTGCGCAGTCGACCATATCAGAACGGCGGGCTTGCTCCAAACAATCGAAGTCTGGGGCCAAACCCCAAGCATTAACCCCCTTAAACCCAAAAACCCTAACCCAACCATGGGCGCCCAAGCTCCATTCAAGAACAGCGGGCGCGACCAAGCGTATGATGTCCCCGAGCTCCACTTTGCTCCGCTCTTCGGGCGCAGATGCCCTGAGGTGTAGGGGTTTAGGGTTTGGATTTAAAGGTTTGAGGTTCTGGTAAGAATTCGTTGGTTGCTCCAACCCTTACAAAAAAGGACCGTTTACTTGCCATAATCTGATCGTAAGGGTCCGGAGTTTGGGGGCCATGGGAACACAGCAGTCCTCCATTAGTTTAACCCTGTGAGGCTTTAGACTTCTCTAACCCGAACTCCCAAATCCTGAACACTATCTCGTGCAATGTTGCGATGGCTGCTGCCTTTCTCGCATGTGCTGGATGATGCAGTCCCTCAACTTTCAACAGTGTCCCTGCAACTCAAGAACTCTATACACCCTAAACACCGAATCCTGCAAAGAACCCCAAGACTGCACAGATATCTCAACACCACGCGCAAAGCCCCCTCGAGTGCCCAATCCCGAATGAATTCCCTACAGTGCATGGGCCTGTTCGAAGAACGCAAAAGCCTAAACCCTAAACACAAGCCTCAGCCCTAAAGGGTTTAAGGGTTTAGGGTTTAGAGTTTAGGGTTTAGGGTTTAGGGTTAGGTGCAGGGCCGGCCCTACAACCTTCAAGAGTGAAGTATGTGCCTCTGGGTGTCTGCCTGGTTCTTTGACCCTCGGCACACCCGCCAGTGCCTGGCTGCGTAAGGCCCTAAACCCTAAACCCTAAACCCTAAACCCTAAACCCTAAACCCTAAACCCTAAACCCTAAACCCTAAACCCTAAACCCTAAACCCTAAACCCTAAACCCTAAACCCTAGCCCTAAGCCCTAAACCCTAAACCCTAATCCGCGGAAGGGGCCTATTGAGTCAACACGGTGTGATGGGTAGTTTAATCCATACTCATGTGCAGAGGTTGTTCCAAAGGATCCTTGTTGCTTCTGATAATACAAAGGAAGCCTACTATTTGGGGTCTACATAGGAGACCCTTATAGTCGGAGTCCATGATTTGTGTAAACCCCAAATGGCAGGCCCCATGGCAGGCCGTTCTGTAGCAAAACGAGGTATCATTTGGGTACCTTCATTCGCGCAGAACAAACCCCCACATTGCGGGTTCTGCAGCTATGGTTAGAGGCCCTTCGTGGATTCGGGGCTGCGTGCTAAATCTTAGCCTTATGCAGCAGATACAGCACCTAAAACGTAAACCTCAGCACAGGGCCTGAATGAATCAAACCCTACACCCTGAAGCCTACACGCTGAACCCTCAACCCTAAACCCCATAAACCTTGAACTTCAAAACAGAACCTTGGGAAACCTGGGCCGGCTGTACGACCCCTCCGCAGCTCGTGGACACATGCTGATCACAAGTTCATCCTCCCGGTGGGTCTGCAGGTTTAGGGTTTAGGGTTTAGGGTTTAGGGTTTAGGGTTTAGGGTTTAGGGTTTAGGGTTTAGGGTTTAGGGTTTTGGGTTTAGGGTTTAGGGGTTAGCGTTTGGGGTTTGATTGGGGCGGGGGGGTGGGGGGGGAGTTGAGGCTAAGAGCTGACAGGGCTAAGGGCTTACGGCAAAATTAATTGGGGCTTCCGATGGTTGTGTTTGGGGTCCAGGCTTCGCAGATTTCAGGGCTAAGCCCTAAAAGCCCTAAACGCCCTAAAAGAACTAAAAGCCCTAAAAGCCCGAAAAGCCCTAAGCACCCTCATCCCTAAACCGTAAACCCTGAAAGCCCTAAAACCCCTAGAACCCAATAAAGACCCATGAGCCTCAAAGGGGGTTCGGGATTTTGCTGCGTCGTTGAAATTCGACCGCTGCGCTCCGATTCTAAGGCCAACAGGCTTACAGGGTTTAGGGTTTAGGGTTTAGGATTTAGGGTTTAGGTCTAAGAGGAAGGGGGTTTGCCTGTAAGAGGGGTTAGGGTTTGAAGCGCTTCAGGGTCGAAGGCTTTCGGGATCTTCGACTATCGTGGCCGAGTCCTGCTTTTGAAGACCTAAAGCCTCGAGACTGAAAGTTACCATAAGAAGAGACTTCAACTTAACCCCTACACCCTAAACCCTAAACCCTAAACCCTCAACCCTCAACCCTAAACCCTAAACCAAAAACCCCAAACCCTAAACCTTAAACCCTAAACCAAACCCTTGCAGGGCGAGGGTGGGCACACCTGCATAGCAGGGAAGGGGGGGGGGGGGGGGTTCAACAACTGGGGGAGGGGGGGGGGACCTATTGGGGCCCTAAACCCTAAACCCTAAACCCTAAACCCGAAACCCTTAACCCTTAACCCTTAAAACCCTAAACCCGGGGGGACCTGTCGTAGACTTGGCTTTGAGATTTAGGGCTTTGTGTGAGGAAGGCTTGCGGCATCTGAAGGTGCTCTTACGGTTTAGGGTTTAGGGTTTAAGGGTTCGGGTTTAGGGTTTAGGGTTTAGGGTTTAGGCTTTAGGGTTTAGGGTTTAGCGTTAAGCGTTTAGGGTTTAGGGTTTAGGGTTTAGGTGGACCTTTGAGGCCAAGGTGCAGAATCCAAAGTCATAAGTCCAAACCCAGGGGTTTAGGGTTTAGGGTTTAGGGTTTAGGGTTTAGGGTTTAGGGTTGTGGACCCTCAAATCCAAAATCACCTCTTCAAAGCCCTGAACTCCGAACCCTAAGTGCCTAATGCTCTTCTTAGCAAATGCCGATCGTGGCTGCTCTAGCATAGTTTTGACCTGCCTGGCTCGCTCCATCGCCACCTCAGTCATCGGCACGGCCAGAACTTTGTCAGGGTTTCGGAAGCGAAGGGCCTAGGGTAGCACATCTTCACGAGGCGCATGCCTAACTGCAGAGTAGTGCTATTCCGTCGTCCGAAGCGTATGTGCAGTGGGGAAGGTCAGGCACACCTGCATCAATAGCGCGGTTTAGGAAAAACAAACCCTAAAACCCTAAACCCGTATGACCTTAAAACCCTTAAAACCCTTATAACCCTGTACAAACCCTGTATCAGCCCTATATAAACCCTACCCTATCTAAACCCTTCTAACCCTGAATCCGAGTGACCCCTAAACCCTAAACCCAAAACCCAAAACCTTAAACCCTAAACCCTAGTTATGACTACAATGAGCCTCCCAGAATGGGAACCTAGTGAAACACCGAAACCTCCAGCCCTCGACCCACTGGCAGGTTCTTTGAAGTGGGGTTATAAGTTCGGGAACCGAGGGTTCGGGCCTCGGGTTTCGGGTTTAGGGTTTGGGGTTTGGGATTTGGGGTTTAGGGTTTGGGGTTTGGGGTTTAGGGCTTAGGGTTTAGGGCTTAGGGTTTGGGGTTTGGGATTAGGGTCCTAATTGCAGGTTCGTGAGTAGTCTGAGGTAGGGATCCACAAGCAGGCTAAGTCTTAGCCATTTGGGGCACGCATAGCGCTTCTTTTCACTAGGCGTGCAGGTACCCTGAATACAAATATAGGGTTACCAAGTTGTAACCATCCACAACCCTACAAGCAATCCCAGAGCCCTAAGGGCTAAGGGTTTAGGGTTTAGGGCTACTCACCAAACCCTGAACGCCAAAGGCACGCAAAGCCTGTGGCCCCCGGCTGCTGCTTTTGCTGGCATACAGGTAGCAGGGCTTGTCCGCGAGGGCCTCATGCGTCCTGAGGTGCTCCGAATTCTTAGCAGCCCAGTAACCATATTATCTTGGCTGCACTTAGGAGGGTAGCTAAAAATTAAAACTTTAGCTGCCTTATTAAGAAACCCAAGAAACCCAAAAAGGCTAAGGATCTAAAGTTACCGTAAAGCACCACAAAGAGATATGATAAGGGTACTCTGTGTTGGGTTGGTTGCTTTAAAAAGGGAACCCGGAACTCAAAAAATGGGCAAAGGGTACCACTGGGCTACCAAGAATTTGAGAAACACTCAAAAGGCCAGTTCTCTACATGGGTGGTTAGAGTTTAGAGAGAGGTTTAGGGTTGAGCAGTGATGGTTCCGGTCTTTTTTGGTGTTCCTAAGATACTGCGAAGACATGTGGGTGGTTGTCAAAATTATGATCCCTTTTAGGGTTTCTCTCACTATCAGGTGCTGTATTCTAGTAGGGAGCCAAAAAAGGACCACAATTTCGACAGCCACCCATGTGTAAAACATATGATTTGGCCAC